TAGTGTTTGTGTTTCGGAAGCATATATATATATATATATTATATTTATATATATGCGGAGAGGCTGATGAAACTAATCGGACTATCCAGCCTAGCAGATGAGAGAGCCCCCCGCGAGAACGGAACAGGACAGCGCGGACTCTACCTCATGACAGCACAGCCTCTGTATCGCAGGAGTTCCTTGCCGGTTAGTCGTCGTTCGTGCCCTGCATGGCTCCCCCTGGCTGCCTGCCTGGCTGTTGCTTACTCTTGGCTTCTGCAGGACGTGAGCCATACGCTCTGGCAATCCGTGTTACGATTTTCTCCATCAGTGTATCAGTGTCGCTGCGCTGGTTGGCGCTGCATGGTGCGGTTGCCACCGGCGAGGGCCACTTATAGCTCTAACTAACGTAAGGGGGTCTGGGTCAGTGGGCGGGCACAAGCTCTTAACCTAACAACTTTTTGTCTCTGCGGGGAAGTTTATATATATATATCTATATATTACTACTTATATATATATTATAATATATATATATATCTGCGGGCGCGCTGGGCTGGTTGTCGTGTGTGTGTGGGGCGGGCTGTGTGTGTGTGTGGGCTGTGTGTTCGTGTGCAGGTGTGTGTGTGTGTGTGTGTGTGCTTGTGTGCTGTGTGTGGGTGGTTTTTGTGTGTTGTGGGGGGGCGCGCCTGTGTGTGTCGGGCTGGAGTGGAGTGCCGCTGCCGGACATGCATGCGTCGCGTGTGTCGTGTGTGTGTATTGCTGTGGGTCGTGTCGTGTGTGTGGTGTGGTGTGTGTGTGTGTATAGTGTGCGTGTGTGTGTGAGGCGGCGCCCGGGTGTCTAGTGTGTTTAAGTACTTGGTAGGCTTTACAACACAATAATTATATTTTTTAATCCTGTTTATCACATTTACCCCGAACACATGCGGAAGGACAAGCTTATCGTGTTTTCGGTTCTGCGCATGCCTCATTAATTCACCGACTGCGCAGCGCGCGCAGAACGCCATGGTTTTATATGGTACCTTGGACGCTATCTCTCAGGCGTGTGAGGTTCGCACCTGCGTGACCAGTGGATGTTTGCCCACGGACGTGCTTGTATACATGTATTGTTAGTTTTATACACATTTGCAACATGCCCCTCCTTCCGCACGAGAACAGCATGCTGCGCAGCATTCCTCCCTGCATGGGACAGGCTGACCAAGGTGTTTCAAAACATACAGGCCAGCAGGCCGACTGCCGCGGACGCAACCCGGATTGTAACATGTACGCACACACGTACCCGTACACGCCGGCACACACGCGCACGCTCTCACACGCAAGCGTGCACACACACGCACGCTCTCTCTCTCACACACACACACACACACACATACACACACAGATACATACACACCACAAACACACACACATCGTTACCCTGTGCTGGCGTACCTTCATTATCTGACCCCACTGCGCAGGGTAGGGATAGACCGCAAGTGGGTTGCAGCTAGGTGGCGCCACGTAAGCTACCAGGCTGTACGACGCGTCCTCTGGCGGCAGATAGGAGCAGTATTGCGGCGACGCCTGCGCGGGACTGTATGCATACAGCGGGCCAGCGTCGTAGCGTTGATGCTGCCATGGCAACGACACGTCATCGTGCATGTAACCATAGTGATCGCGCGTGCCGGCCACCACGTGGTCATTGTAGCGCACGTGCTCGTGACCGTGATTGCGCACGTGAGCCCGCATGTAGTGTCCGTCGTGGTTCACTACATCCGGGTACCTGTCGTCGTGGCCTTCCCAGGATTCCCTGCTGTCCTCTGTCTCCAGGCTGGCGCGCGCATGATCCGACCAGCGGCTTCGCTCGTCTGCCTCCCCCCGCACGCTGTCCCCGCAACCGTGCATCGTGGCGCCATCTCGCGGACGATATGCGCGATGGGGCGACGGCGCACGTCGCCCGCCGTCGTCCATGTTGGCGTGCGTTCTCTTCCTGTTGCCTAGCAACGCGTCGTCACGGTCAGCGGTTACGTCATCGCGTGCGACATCTTTGAGGCGCGGTGACGCGGGCGCATGGCCGGGGTGAGAGCGAGGAGGTAGAGCTCTCCCTGCCGCGGCCGCGTGGTGGCGCCACGGTGCCGGGATAGCCGTGGTGGTGGCACTGTGCTGCAGCAGTCGCTCCCATCCCTCGTCCTTGCGTCGCTCAAACGGGTCCCACGACGCGCTGATCTTCTCGTCGAGGTCGCGAAGAAACTGATCGCGCATGCTCAGGTAGCCGCGCCGACCGCCGCCAGGTGACGCCACCGCCGCCGTCTCCTTCGACCTGCCGCCTCGCGGGCTGCTCGACGGTGGCGCCACCCGCGGCGAGTCGCGTTCGCTCGCCGGCGCTTCGGCTTTCTTGTTGTTCGGACGCTTGACCGGCGGAGCGATCGGTGGCTTGCTGGGCGTCACCGGACGCGTCTGCTCGCGCGTAGCAACCACCGCCTCCCTAGCAACGGTCGTCTCCGCGTCGTTTGCCGTCGCGTCGACGTCCGTGACGACGTCTGAGGTGACGTCAGCTACATCGTTAGCTTGCGTGACGTCACAGTCGTTGGGTTTGCTGTCGCCATCGTTACGGACGTTGTCGTGATCATTGTCAGAAGCAGCATCATTACTGTCGTCATCGTCGGCGTCGTCATCATCATTATCAGCAGCAACATCGTCTTGATTTTTATCTCCAACAGCAGGTGCAGAAGCAGCAGAAACCACAACGGCAGCAACATCATTGGCAACAGCAGCAGCGTCATCGTCATCATTGGCAGCAGTAGCAGCAACGCCATCATCATCATCGTCATCATCTGCAGCTGAGACTGCTACCACGCTGGAAACCGCTTCATCTGTTTCGTGTTTCACATTCTCCTCGGTAGATGGCGGTAGTTGCGTCTCGGTCTTTGCACTTTGCTCGGTATGAGGGATTACGTCATCATCGTGTATAGTAGTGGCTGCTGTTGTGTCGCCACTCGCGAGGCTTACTCCGCGCACGTCGCAAGCGCCGGCATCGTCAACGTCGCTGTCGTCGTGGCTCAGCGCCGGTGGCTCCTCTACATCCAGGCGTTGCTGCTTGTCGCCCATGGCAACCGTGCTGCAACACGATCGCGGTTAGACGACGTAGATCCCGGCATTGCGCTCGATAAATTTTATGTGAATATAACATGCTAACACTGTTTCACGTACACGGTCGTGGGCAGAGAGATAGACATAGATATAGACGTAGACGTAAACATAGACATAGACATAGACATAGACATATACATAGACATGATGCCACTCAGACTTTTTCTTTTTTTTTTTTTTTTTTTTTTTTTTCTCTTTTTTTTTTTTTTGACTATACATAGACCATTGACGATTCTCGATGGACATTTACATGGACATTTACATGGACATTTACATGGACATTTACCATGCGACAATTTAATGACATAGACAAGACAAGACATATACTAGACATGAACATTTACATGGACATTTACATGGACATTTACATGGACATTTACATAGACATTTACATGGACATTTACATGGACATTTACATGAACATTGATTTACATGGACATAAACGTAGACATTGTCATGCTCACGTTGGGTATGAAATACCAATGAAAACAGGTGTGAGAGTGAACTATGAGTGCACAGTGTGCCAACCCGTTCTTATCCAGTGATATTATTATGATTAATTATACTGTCTAGTTAGCTGTATTAACCCCACTACATGAACCGCACTGACATCTACACCCACTAGATCTGCTTCCTACGACCTATTAATTTTATAATTTATATAATATTAATATTATATTAATGTATATTGCTGTGTGTGTTGTGTGCTGTTCGTGCGTGTGCGTGTGCGGTTGTGCGCTTGGGGTGCCGTGTGCGTGTGGTGCTTGCGTGTGCGTAGTGGGCGGTGTGGTCCGCGGTCGAGAGCGCGCGTGGTGGTGCTGTATGTGTGTGATAGAGTGTGTGTGTGTCGTGTGTCGTGTGTATGTGTTGTGTAGTGTGTGTGTGTGTGTGGGTGTGTGATACGTGTTGTTGTGTGTCGGGTGTCGTGCATATGTGCTATTGCGTGCGTGCTGTCGGCAGTGGCGTGTGTGTGTGTAATGTGTGTGTGTGTGTGTGCGTGCGTGGCGTGCGTGCTGTGCGTGCGGTATGTGTATGTGTATGTGTGTGTGTGCTGTGTGCGTGCGTGGGTGCGCGTGCGTGCTGTGCGTGCGGGATGCGTGGCGGATGGTCGGGTCCGCAGCGCTGAAGGACGGCCTGAAAGATAAGAGAAAGTGGAGGCGGGCCGAGGATCTGCGCGGCGATTCAGCGGACGTGCGGCGAGAGACGAGCAGGGGATATTCTAGGCCACCGGACAATTACGAGCCCGGCTGGGAGAGGGCATGCGTGCGTACGACGGAACGAATGTGCGTTGTGGTGAGTGGCTGGTGGTCAGCTCGTAAAAACATTATTCTTTGTACCTTCTTACTTGTCAAAATTACAGCACAAGGCACCGCCATGTCAGTCTGCGTGATGTGTGAAAGTTTGTTTATTGGTCGAGTTTTGGGTTGCTGTGTGATGTTTTAAGAGAGGCTACATGTTCCCATCACGGGACGTGTGCGTTGCCAGTGATTTTGTTTAACGCTTTTTGGTTGATATCTCGCGTTTTTCATGTGACTGTGATGTTTTTTGTGCCTTAACGAGGTGTCAGGGAGAGGCAGGACGGGTATTTTCGGTTTGTTCCCGAAAGTTAATTCTCATTTTAAACTGCCATTTTCGGCAGTTTTGGGTCACGCTGACAGTAGTTGAGAGACGACGGCTCTTTTCCGTGGGCTCACTATCTTTGCCTTAATGTGATTTACGGCGCAACATCGCGCTTGTAGGATACATTCTTGACTTTGTTTTGAAGAGGATTACTCCTAAGCGCAGGGAGGCAGTGGACTTGACTAGACGTAGTTTATAGAGATGGTTACCCTGGATAGTCCGCTTTTTATTTAGATACAGTTCCATCTTGCTGACATTCGTGAAGCCACCAGTGCTTGCGTTTGGCGGCTTTGTCTCCTCTCCTCTCTCTACTTCATGCACTCGCTCTGATTCACAAGGTAGTTATTCTTAGTTTACGATGTCGTCACTGCTTGGGCGGCTCTTTCGTGGAGTCTTTTCTTTGGACTGGTAATAGGGAAAGCTATGACTTGGTGAGATAAACGTTGGTGAAATTCGAAGGGGAGACTAGAATTGATGGCAGTTCCCTCTAAAATTGGTCAGATTATCACTAGTTCAAGAAAGTTTTACGATCTACTTCGTATTTCATATTTTTCGAGGCGTTCTGATAATTGCGCGGACCTCTTGTACGCCCTCGCTTTTGCTGTTCGTCTGGAATGGTCTAATTTGACGCTCTTTATATTTGCGTTACCCTCTTCTTTCAGTTTTACTGTCCGAAAGACAAATGAGGTGCCCTCTTCAGCTGGCGTAGCCAGGGTTACAGGGGGGGGCAAAAAACAGGCAACAGGGCCTGCGGCCCTACCGCCATCCTACGGTGGCGCCTGGGGGCTGACGGGATTTAATATCGGTTAG